ATTCTTCTTCTTGTTTCTCTCATACTTTTACTGGATGAGTCAGGTGGGACTGGCTGTACCCCAAGGGATGTTACCCCTGAAGCTACCAAAAGTATGATACAGAAAGAAACACCCGGTCTTCTCTATGTTATGATGCGAGAAAGTTTGAAGGTATTAAAGTTCTTATATCACTGGTATTCCATGGGCATTTATTAGACTATATATGTATTACAGGTGCTAAAATTTGGCAGATATTTTAGACACCCTTGTCTGTATAACCTTCATCTAGTTGATTGCTGAAATTGTGGGGCTGTCGAACAAAGAATGAAAAAATAGAACTAGGTGTATAACCACATGCTCATGTTATTATTCACAGTGCATTTCTATTGAAAAACTGGGGAAAGAAAAGATAAATCTATTTCCTAAGCATATTCAAGAATTAAATACCAAAATTTGTATGAGTAGTCTTGAAAGTTGATCACACATGGGCTTACCCTTGAGGTCAATGAAATTAGAATTAAGACCATGGAAGATTAGAGTTTAAATCCAACATAGACAAAAAAAGTAATTGATTTTTTCCTTTTCTGCCTAAGCTAGGTGGAGTTATCCAGTGGATTTTTCCCTTTTCTGCCTAAGCAACTTTCCTCAAGTATCAAAATGAACTAGAGAATTCAAGTTAACCAAGTGATTTTCTGTTTGCCTATATGGTGGCCTAACAACAATAGATGTGTATTGTCAAACACTAATGAAGTGACTTCTTTTGATAACATCAGATATTTAATCTTCAGCATGCTTTCTTTATTTTCTTAATCAGTTATCCGGTGGTTGAAACTTTTGCATGTTCACATAAGGCAGCTATGGAATTTGCATGTTTATGTAAGGTGGTTATAATATTTTGCCTTTATGGTGGACTCACAATCATGCATCTTACTTCAAATAGGTTACACCCTCTGCAATGCTCTCACGTGCAGCAGCTGGAATAAGAGGATCAACATTGGTAAGGCCAGAAGTCCAAACTATTGTATTTTTACTATCATGCATCACCAAACCACCCACATGAATCAGCCAAAAGTTTCCTCATATTGTTGATAAGCTCAGCTTAAAATTGTGCTCGACTGACAGAAAGGGAAGGCATTTGTGGTTTTAGAACTTGAGACAACTATTGCAGTAAAACCGAATTACCTTGACTAAACTAAGATTATTAAATTTGTACAAAGCATGCACTTTGAGTTGAATAACGCTGAGTCAGTGGGTTGACATACTAGCTAAGCATATATTTTCACAAGCATATTGTGCTATAATTACTCAGATTAATATTTAAAACTTAATCTAAGGCTAAGTTTTTTATTTTGTCTTTACTTTAAAGAAGCTTATGGGATCTTAGAGTTAGAACAGTTCTGCTGCAAGTTTATGTGTGTATTCTCCCTAAACCTATTTTGAGCAAGTCCAAAATCATTGACCTGAAGAGGTTTCAATTATTTTTATAGGCCTTTTCGCTGTTTCAATTTTTACTCTACTCATTTGCTTATCATTTGAGTTTAACTCAAAACTAGGGATGTGTTTCATCAGTTGTGTTATGATAGGATCTTCTATATAGGGACAAGATATTGGTTTACTAGCAAAGGTTCTGTCTTTGTAATCTTAGTCTTCCACTTGACTGAATGCCTTTGCTTAGCAAGTCGAATCTTAGTGTTGAGTTTTAGAACTATGGTTCATCTTTCATTTTTACTGAACTTATTTGCTTAGCAAGTCGAACTGAGTGTTAAGTTTCAGAACTGTGGTTGTATTGTCATCAATTTATGCATCTTCTCTCCCTAATCCAATAATCTCTATTTTTCTCTGTGTGTTGATTTTACTGTACATTCATGTTTTAGGTGTACAATGTTTTACCTCCGGCAACAGTGTCACACTTATGATCACACTTCCATAGCTGAAAGCAACAGGAAAGAGAATCATTAATATCTTCAATGTAAAATTACAACTAGTGGAAATTTTGAAGTGTTGAAGTGTGTGACAGCTCCTCTAAAAACTTAAGCCGGCAGAGAGATCACACTTTTATTACTTAGTGGGTGTTTGGATTGACTTATTTTAAGTAGCTTTTGGCTTTTAAGCTCTTTTTCATTTTTGGAGGTGTTTGGGAAAGACATTTTTTTAGGTTGAAAGAGTACAAAGGTAAGCTAAAAGCCAAAAGCCAAAAGTTCCCAACTTTTGGCTTTTAGCTTATAAGCAACTTTAAAAAGCCAATCCAAACACCCCCCTTAATTATACTCTCAACCCCTCCACCCAGCATGGACCTATTTTTTTTTTCATGAGCCAAGAACGTGGAAATTCTTTTTGATAATGGCTGGCTCTGAGATTCGATCCCACGATCTCTTCTTTGCTATAATACCATGTTAAAAAATGGGTTTTGGGCCAAACTCAAACCCTAAATCTAGCTCTAGAGACGAGGATTGCCCAAGATCATATAAAGTGACCTAATTCCCTAAGTCCACCAATGTGGGACTTAATACCCCCCTTACACCTAGAACTGGACATTTGGAGTATGGACAATGTAAGACGCCCATATCTGATAAACAGTGAATTGGTATGAACCCGATTCTCATACCATGCTGAAGTGTAACCATCTCATCTAAAAAACTTAAGTTGTTAAAGAGAGTACAATTTAATTGCTGAATTATGTTCTCAACACGCCTCACGTGTAGGCCTGATTTTTTAATTTCATAGGCCAAACATGTGAAAATTCTTTTTGATAAATGATGGGAGGATTGTCCTAGACCATATACGGAGACCAAGAACCCCTTATCCCATTGATGTGGGATTCCAACAGGAAGCTAGTGATAGTTGTAGATAGTAGTTTCCTTTATTTGCTTATCGTTGCAGTTGGGCTGGGCTCCGACTCTATGATAGTTTAAGGTAGTTAAGGATGAGAGGTACTTTGAGTTGATAGTGAATCCCATCTCAAGATGCAAGTTGTTTTCGTATTCAACTTAAATTATTTTCCATTTCAAAATACTTGAGTTCATTTGAAGTGTGTGAGAAATTCAGTGTATGTGAAAGCTCCTTCTTAAGTCTCAACTTTTGCTGCTGTTTTTTCCTTTAAGATGGTTCTCCTAGTATCATTAGGATATTTTCTTTTGTCCGATTCATGTTTTACCCTTAAAACTGGAGACCGCAAGGTTGACACCTGCAAGGTTAAACTGCTAAATCCTAAATGGTCTGTGAGGTGTGCCTCTATGTGTCGAGAAGAAGCATTAGGCTAATTAGCAACATAAGTGAGTCGACTTGCAGATTTTCTTCCTTTACCAGGAGAGCCAAGTGCGAGCTGCATGATAAGTTCCTTTTATGTAAAGAAAGTGCATCTAGCTTTAATTGACACAAGATTTAATTGTATCCCTTCATTGGTTAGAAATCTTTTACTATTCTTGGAGCTTTTCTAACTGCTGCTCCTTGATGAGTCCCTCAGAATTTTACCTTTTACACAATGTTTTCAGATCATCAATATGCCAGGCAATCCAAATGCAGTTGCAGAGTGCATGGAAGCTTTGCTGCCTTCACTTAAGCATGCACTGAAGCAGGTAAGGGGTGACAAGAGAGAGAAACATCCTCGTCATATTCCTCATGCACAAGCTGCTCCCACAGATACTTGGGAACGCAGTTACAAGTTGGCTTCGAGTGGTGGTGAAGAGCATGGTTGTTCCTGTTCCCACTAACATGTATCTCTTGTTGATATTATACTCCGACATTAACTTGGAACCATGTGCATCTAAAGCACCTTTTCCAATGAGTTATGTTGTATCTTATATACAAGGCCACTTCAAAGGACAGGAAATTTGAATAAATATCTTTTTTTTTTGGGTAACTATCTGTTTTATTAATTACCAGAAGTAAAAGTTACATATCAAGCAGCTAACACAACATGCTCTGTTCTCAGTATTACTCTCATCTTACTACAGGAGTTCTAGCAATAGTCACATAGGTTATCTCCTTGGCCACATTTTCCTCTGTTGTGCTCTTCTTCACAAAAATTATGTTATTCCTCTCAATCCACAACCCATATATGCATTCAGCCAAAATGATCTTGAAGATTTGGGTTGTTATAGACTTCCCCTTTCCATGTTGTATGCACCATTGTAAAAATTGACCCCAATTTGTTGGGACTACACTATGTTGATGAGTCCATGTGAGCAGCCTATTCCATAAATATCTGGCGAATTGATATTGAATGATCAGATTCTTCATTTTTGCATAAGACCTTCTTAGGTACTTTCCACACCCCATTTGGCTAACCTGTCTGCTGTTGCTAGTTTCGCCACATAGTGAATGAAATAGGCTTTTGGCCTTGCTTCATTCTTGTACATTAGACACTTCCATTCAGTTCTTTGCTGCTCCCCTAGCACATACTTCCTGATCATACTTCCTTTCTTGGCCTTGCTTCATTCTTGTACATTAGATACTTCCATTCAGTTCTTTGCTGCTCCCCTAGCACATACTTCCTGATCATACTTCCTTTCTTGCTCCCTATCTGCTGGATTTGCTCAGTATGCATGGGATGAGGGATATCTTTGATCAATTTCTTGTCTGAACTGCCAAAGTTCAAATTGATGTCCCCTTTTTCAATATAAATATGACTCCCAAAGATGGTATCAATTTTACACATATATGCCTTTGTGATTGATTGCTTCTTGGCTCCTTCTATAAAAATAGGTGTCTTTTGAAGTGGCATTATTGAAGAAAAGATACGGTGGGTCGATCTTTTTGAAAAACTAGTTTCTAAAAAGAGTGTCAAAACTTAATTTGGAAGAATATGAACATGTGGATTAAATCTATATGATGACATTTAACTATATTGTATAAAAATATTTGTAAAGAAATTATGTGCTCATTTCAATTTGCTTGTTGGTTGGACGAGGCAATCTTGGAGAACATCTTCCAGGCACCATTTTCTAGTGTTCAAATGTAAAAACCATGTTGCATAGAGATACATTAGAGTTCAATGAATCAAATAATTTCATACAAAAAGAACATATTGTGAGGATTTTTACATGACTTCATCTAGTAGGTAAAATCATAAAAACCATAGTTTCACACACTCCAAAACCCAAAATCAAACCATTAGTCTAAAAAAGCTAGAGAGATCATCACACCAGTAACATGATCTCAACACAACCTTGGCTACCAAACTAAAAAAACAATCAACTCAAGAAGAGGTAGTAGTATTAGTATTAGTTGGTGAAAGATTTCTTGCTGGTGGGAAGAGGGCAACAGCACCTCTATCTGGACCCGAAAACTTCCTGTAAATTGCCTTGAGCTTATTTTCTGCAGCACCCAAGTGATAGCTAACCAATCCCTTGGCACTTTCCATCAACTGATCTTCTGAGTATCCAGTATGGTGCTGCAGAGTTTGAGTCCATAGAGGACTTTTGTTGAGAGTACAACGAGCAGCGTAAACAGACGATGCTGCCAGCATTGATGGACAGCATGTTATTGTGGTCTTATAGTTCATCAGACCAAGTTCAGCAAAGAAGAAAGCCATGTTCTCCATCTACAATATCAACATAATTGAGTTAAATTAGCCAGAGATGAACACACACATGGACAATTATGTCAAAAGATGATTAGTATATAGTACCTCCTGATCGTTTGGTGTTGAAGCTTTAATGTACCTAACCAGAAACACATATGGTGTTGGAACTGTCAGATACCATTCCAGCTTACCAAGAATTGCTTTCTCCATCTGGAGTATCTGATCTCTGGCATATGCATTGTCTGATATATGAATGAAATCATTGACCTCTGGTGCCCAAATCTCTTCATACTTGCAAGCAATTAGCATTGAGCTAATGCCAACTAACTGAAGTTCCCTCCTGGGAACCGTCTTCACCGAGAGGAAACGGTCCAGTATGTTCATTGTAAGGTAAAGACTTTCAGGCATTAGCTCAAACTTCCTATGAACTTCTATTAACCAGTCCACAAGAATGGCTCTCATCTTATGATTCAGCTCTGGTTGAAAATCCATATAGTCATTCACTCGACCTTCGTCCTGGATTAGACACAACAGACAACCAAGTAGCATATGAGATTCTAAAAGTGGAACACAAACAGTACAGAACAAGCAAAAGAGAGTCACCATATATACCTCAGTGAGCTTGTAGAAGTTGTAGATGTCCTCAACATACTCCACAGCAGCCAAATGATTATCAACATCCGCAGCATCGATATCGTCAATCTTTGGTCTATTGGCAAGTCCACAAGCAGCCTGAGAAAGAACACAATTTTGAGAATCTTGATATTACTCAAAACTACACTATTTATCTAAATTCTAAAGAGGGGAAAAACTAAATGTACATAACAACCTTGCTTCTTGCAGTGAGGGTAGAAGTGAGAGTCTTCTCAGATTTCTTTGTTTTTCTTCTGCCACTCAAGGGACTTTGCTTCACTTCCTTATCAGGGCTTATAACAATAACAGTTTCAGGTGCAAGGTTGTCTGATGCTGCCTTCTTAACTTGTACCTTTGTAGGAACAACTTTGTTGACGACTTCTGCAAGTGGTTTCTACAGACAAAAAGAAACAAAACACAAATTATATCATCCACCATTTCAAGATTCATAAATCCATTTTTTTCAATGTGTTAAGGTAAATCTTCACCTTGTTCTTCTCAGCTTGTGCATTAGCTAGCAACTGTGCACAAAAACTCCTAGTAGCAGGACGAGTAATCTGCGCTGCTTTAGGCTTCCCTTCAACAGCAGGAACAATCACAAGGTTGCCTATGTCTCCGAGTACACGCCTAGTTTTTCCAGCAACTTGTCCAATTTTCTGTTTACCACCCATTTCTCCTCCTATACAGATTAGTAGAATTCTCATGAGACATATGATAATGTTCTTGCAACATACAATTAGAGATTCCAATTTTCAATCACTCAATCATCAAATCAGCATCAATATCAAAAGAAAATCGACTATGAAATCAACTTTTCATCAGTAAAAGAATCCATAATCATCAGTTATCACCATCAATCAAAACAGAAACATCAGCAAGAACAAAAAGAATCAACAAATAATCTATCATTGCGATATCAAGTATTTCAAGAACCCCACCATAAACACACAGAGAAAGAACACTTTTTTCGTCTTAACACGAAAAAACCCATCTATCATGCTCATTTCATACAGATTTCAAATATTTCAAGAACCCCACCATAAGCACAAAGAAAAAGAACATTTTTTCATCTTAATACCAAAAAAAACCATCTACTACTATTTCCCTCCGATTTAAAAAATTTCAAGAACCCCACTGTAAACACAAAGAAAAAGAACAATTTTTTCTTCTAAATTCGAAAAACCCACATAAGATTACCTGAATTTCATTCAAACCCTACTATAACCACACAAGAAAAGAACAATTATTCCGTCTAAATACGTAAAACCCAGGTGAAATTCAATTGAAACTCAATCAAAAAAGGAAGTAAAAAAACAGGGAAAGCTAAAAAACAGGCGAAATTTCAGAATTTCATTCAAACCTCTGGGTAAAGAACAATTATTCCGTCTAAATACATAAAACCCAGATGAAATTCAATTGAAACTCAGTCAAAAAAGGAAGAAAAGTACACAAAGAAGCTAAAAAAAGGGCAAAATTTCATACAAACCTCTGGGTAAATTATGAGGAACAACAGCTTTATTATGATCCATTTCAAATTCTTCTTCCCCTTCTTCTTCTATCTGATTATTACTCTGTCCAAAAACTCCACCAATACTCGTCAAAATCGATGACAGAAAAGAATGGAGACGACTATTCCCCGCCTCTCCTCCTTCTGTACTTTGAGTCGCCACTATTTCTCCCTTTCGTACAATTCTTTTTGTGAATTTTTGAAGTTTTTTCCACAGATTTGTGAGTTAACAAAGAGAATTTATGAAGAAACCATTTGAGATTTATATGGAGGAACAAAAATGGCGAAAGGAGCGTTTATTGACTTTTTAACGGTCATATTTTTGGCTTTTGAATAAGGACCGTTAGATGGAAACTGATCGGACGGTTGAGATTCGTTTTAGTAACAAAAAAGGCTCTTTTTTTTACTAGCCGTTAGAAGGTATAGTATGTGAGAAGCCACTGGGATTGTTACCGTTTGGTAAAAAAGGAAAATTAATATCAAAGGGCGAAATAGGAAATTATTTTGATTTTTGAATTTTTTTATAATTTTATCAGAATTTTACACAAATCTCATAATGTTAAGAGCTAATTATATTATATCACTATTCTTTTCCAAATTACAAAAATCCCTTAAATTTGGTGGAATCCGGATACACCCCAAAACGTTCCTATACATCGCGTCTCAATTTCAGATACGTCGCTCAACGTCTCGATGCATCGCGTCTGAGTTTCAATATATCACTCAACGTCCCGATATATCGAATCTGAGTTTCAATATATCACTCAACGTCTCGATACATCGCGTAAAGTGATGTAACCGAGAATAAGAGAGAGTAGAGATTTTTGTAAACTTCTTAAATGCTAGGAAATTTTAGAGAATATGATAAAAATAAGTTGTGTAATTCGGTAATTTTTCCTAATTTTATACTATTTAAGAGTTAGTTTAATATTTAGAGCAAATGATCTTCTATATCAATTAGTGATCCTATAACAACATTATACCTGGTGTAATCCCACAAATTGAGGTATTAGGAGAGTAAAGTGTACGCAGATATTACCACTCAGTACTATCTTAGAGATAAAGATTCTGTTTCTGATATCGCCTCAGCTCAAAAAAAAGAAATAGTCTAAAGCAATATAGAAAAAAAATAACTAAAATGAAGAAACTCATGACGAAATATGATTGACAACCTGACAAATAATCTTAAGGAGTAGTCATTACAAATAAAATGATAATTGAAGAGTGAAAGAATCATAGATAATAACCAAACTCAAAAGACAAACAACTACAAGAGTAATAATATGACCTATAGAACAACTAATAGTATAAAAGAATAAGTGAGACGACGCAACTATCTAGGGTTTTAACCTCTTACCTTAATTTGTTACCTCCATAATAATATTATCTAAGGTCATGTCCTCAGTAAGTTGAAGTTGCATCATGTCTTGTCTAATCACCTCTCTCCAATACTTTTCAGCCTATCTTTACCTCTCTTGAAATCATCTATAACCAACCACACTTTCGCACTAGGACATCCATTGCATCTCCTTTGCACATGCTCAAATCATTTGAGTTTCGTTTCTCTCATTATATATTCTATCGAGATCATTCCTACCTTGTACTTTTAATAATCCCATATAGTCTTTTTTTTACATTTTTAAAATATTATTTTTAAGGATAAGACATAGAAACACAGCTAAGCTATATAGGAGATTCCATATTTTTTCTTCTTCGTATTATACGTTATTAGGATACAAAGCATATGAAATAATAAAAAGTAATATGCATGAAAGAATAAGAAATTACATAATTATTAAATAACACCAAGGAGAAGAAGAGAGGGAGTGCCCCAGTTTCTCCCACATAAAGTTTGTTAAGTTTAGATGAATTATCAACATGAATTTCACTTGAAAAAAAGTATAAATTCGGTGAGTAAATTACTGTTTTGTATGCTCAAATCAACAACAATAATATACAGAATATAATTCCATAAAGTGAGATCTGATATCCTCGAATCATTTCTTCAAATTTTAACTATCCATTTGAAGTTGAAATGAAAAAAATAAAATTAAAAGAAATTGAAAAAAGACCAACAATAAAACGAATATTTATTGTTTTTTCATTTAATTTTGTGAACAAAAATGTTACTTAAATGATGAAAAATAAATTAAGAAAAAGAATGGAGATGCGGGGGATCGAACCCCGTGCCTCTCGCATGCAAAGCGAGCGCTCTACCATGTGAGCTACATCCCCATGTGATTGTATCTTACACAGATATCATTAATATATATTTTACTATTACAAATCATAAAATGTGAAATGTGAAATGTTCTTTACTCTCTACAAGTATTTTGCTCTACTTCTCATAGCTATCGTTACATTTTTTGACTCATGAAAAGTGAAAAGGTAGAAACGACTAGTCAGTAATGAACTACTTGACTTCCCTATAATGATTCAAAGTTTAATAAACTCATTCAATCTTTAATTTGAGCCTTTGCTATCGTGGGCTAAATAGATAGCTAATAGTTATGGGCAATAATTCCTTAATTAGGGGTGTGCAAAAACCAAACTGACCAATAAATCGAACAAACCGACAGACGCCCCTAATTAGTATATACAAAACGAACTTCTTTCTTTTTTACAAAATATAAATTTGTGTGTCAATTTTATATTTAAAAAATGAAATCATGATATAGAATTACCAAATCAACTTTTTTCAAGAATTTTGGATTTCATATCATGTCCGTACCCTAATTTCATCAATAAAGTGTGTGTGACTCACTTATGAGTACACAAAATATGAAGCCATCAAAAAGAAAGTTGAATCTTTAAATGTTTTTCCCTCTAAAATATTATTATTGTTTAGATACAATCGAAAAACTATCGACATTTTGCCACTTGACATAAATAAAGTTGAATACCCAATCTTCTCGAACAATGTAGGAAGGGCCACATCACGCATTGTGATCTTACCACTAGATCAACGCCTTCGTTTTTCTAAAAAAAAAATATTGGAAATTTGCTTACCAAGTAAAAAGGACTCAGTAAGGTAAGAGTCCATTTCATCTTCAGTTTTTCATGTGCATCTAAACATATACAGATAAAACAAAGAGCAAACATGCTAAGATCTATCTCCCAACTCCCTAATTAGATGTTTCATAGAGGATACACAATCATATATCTGCATAAGAACTAAAGAAAGCACTCGATCAGAATGAAGTCGTTCGTCTTAGCTGATATCTTGGTTCAAATGACAACTCGGATAACATGTTCTCAGCTCCTGTGCAAGGTAAATGAGTTCAGTGACAGTCACTAAAAAGACAACAAGCTGGTTTGCTGAACTTAAGAACAGAAATAAGAAAAGGTGGTTTTTTGTAACATGTAGATGTAGCGCGCTTTGCTGAGTTTGGACTGATGTCTTAGACCAGTAGGCCAAATAACAAGACATCTAGAAAACCGAGTAGGCAATATATAAGAAAGACTTCATCAACAAAGAGCAAACTATTCATGTCATGCCTATATGGTTTCAGATTTGCACGCTTGCAACTCTCTTCCGAACAACTTTACAAGAAAAAGGAGAAGTATAGATTCGAAATAACAGGAGGTGTGAAAAATGATTTAGCTATTTGAAATCCTAAAATTCACATTGTCAAGAAATCAGACAAATAGAGTAACCTGTACTGCTTTACCAGATAATTAACAATATGAGAAAGAGCAGAACCTGTACAACAAAGTCTACTAATTTATTTGGTTTAATCATTCGGTATCTGAATCCCACTAGCACTAACAAGACATTTAAAATGGCCAAGGGATCTACCATAGCTGCAAACACACTCCAACTGATGATCCCAATAATACCAATCAGAGATAGATCTTTCACAAATCCCATATATCAGTTATTGAGAAGACATGTATACCATATATCTCGAGCTGATGGTCTATCGGAAATAGCCGCTCTACCTCACAAGGTAGAGTAAGGTCTGCGTCACTATACCCTCCATGAACCCCATCTGTGGGATCACACTGGATATGTTGTTGTTGTTGAGAAGATATGTGATGGAAATCCTATGTCATGTAGAAAGTAACCGGTACCACGGATCACATGTTTAAAGGTTTTTAAACACACCATATATTTAATATAATTACTTCAAAGGGAATATCAAACGTGTATAATGTCAAAGGTCTGATTTTTAGAATGGTAATCCTATGGCACAAACACCACATTCACTCTTGATATTGTAGATAAGAGGGTTCAATATCCCTACAGATTTAGGCTCATTGTTACCAATCACTAGCACTATTGGCTCAGGTTTTCTTTCCTAGAGAGTAGAGACTAAGAAAATTAAAATACATCAAAAAGAGGCTAAAGTATACAAGCTTTAATATAATAAGTCCTTATGTTGCCCAGAACCAAGGTGAAGTGATCAACAAACATCATAACACCAAAAGGCCTACTTTTGGATCGTAAAGCAAAAACCAACTCTTGCCATAAGAAAATCTTAAATGTGTTGATCCCAAACGATCAAGCTGTAAGGAGTTAGCAGGAAGAAGGTTTCTTCTTGTCAGTCCGTAAACAAACCATCAGAAGAAGGTTTAACCAAACTATCATGAGACCAAATTTTAGCATAAGGGAAATTCTCCTCAAAGCTGACAAGTGCACTACGATGCAGTCAGATGCACGGAAAAAGGTCGTAGAACATGAACCAGAAGTGAAACAAAATACTGACAAGAAAAATAAAATGAATGCTAGCTCATAAAATTACCGATACCTATCTAGATTAATTTTTTTTAATTAACATCTTCCCAACTCTTTCCTGCACCTCCTCTTTCTTCTCCTTTTCTATAACTTAAGGGAGCAAATATCACTTTGCCTACCAGGGGAGGAAGGAAAAAAGGGAAGTACCAAAGTAAACTCAACTCTAAACAATAAGAAACAAACAAGAAATCACTGAAGGGAAACTCATTCAATCACTGTGTACTACAAGCATCTAGGACTATCAGTCCACCAAGCATCCCAAAAACACCTGATGAATCATCAAAGGCAGCATTCACTTATAACCATTGCATCAATTGTTCAGAAAGGCAAAATTTGCATTAGCATAATAAAGCAAAACATCCTTTTCTGGGTAAAAGCACTGTAAACTTTCTTTTTGACTGGTAAGAGAATAGTATTCTAAATCCCCACCCCACTAAACTATTCA